GCGCTGAGGTCACTGCTGGCCTCGGCGCTGGGCCTGGGTGGCTGCGTGCCCTGGGGCGCCGGGCGCCTGCGGCGGGGCCACGGCCCCGAGCCCGACTCGCCCTTCCGCCGAAGTCCGCCCCGCGGCCCCGCCTCCCCCCAGCGCTGACCTCAGCGCTGGCCACCCCCGACAGGCCATCGCCGAGGTGTCGACCGACGGATCGGGACGTCGGCTGGATGGACGGCGTCACCGGCGCGGATGGACAGACTGACGGACCGCAGGAAGAGACAGTCGGGGGGCCAGGGGCCCAGTAAAGGAGGCTGAGGTGCGGTCTTAGCGGCTGGCGCATCTGAGGGGGCGGGGCGGGGTGGTGCAGGGCCCCGATTTCCCTTCCGTGGGGCTTCTGGACCTCCGCTGGGTCCCTAATAAAGCTGTCCATTTTGTTACTGCCTCTCCCAGACCTCCTGGGTTCTGGGGAGTAAGGTGGTAGCACCAAGTCCCCATTATAGAGTTGGAAAAATTGCAGATGCTCAGATTCCAGGAGGGGTTTGCCGGCAAACTTTCACCACTGGGAGCCTGCTGCGCTGACGCAGGCCATCCACCCCTCCCTCCCTACACCCGCGTTGCCTTTCCTGGGTCCTTTGTGGCTGTAAGAAGAGACTTGCCCTTGAGACTGCTGATTTCTGGCGCCGCCCAGCTCTAGACCTTCGGGGAGGACAGAATAATGAGGTCCCAGGATGCGGTGGGGGCTGGGCCAGCAATGTACCACTAAGTTCTCTCCTAAGCCCGTTTCCCATTTGGGGGGACAGAATCCCAGAGAGATTGAGGATTTGTTCCCATCACACTTAGGCCCTTCCACTTCTAGGAGACAGCTCTTTTCTCATGCTCTCAAGCAATTTTGCCAAGTCAAGTACATCTTGACTTCGATAACCTGGGTGGGGTATTTGGTAACTGCTTAAGGCCTTACCTGCTCTCCTAAGGTTCCTCCACCGTCCCCCACCCCCAACCCGTCTCTAAGATGGTTCTGCCAGTCATGGAGCCAGGTGACATCCTTTAACGGGCCCCAAGGGGGTAGGTATGTCATCTACTTCTAGAAGGGGGGG